GAACGTGTGCCCCTAGCCTCCATGGCTCCACTCTCATTTACTGATCATCAATTACAGCTGGCCCCCAGGCTTCCAGCCAGGTGGACTCTTAGCTGCTAGTTACCTGCAAGGTCTTATCCCTCTGCAGGCTGAGCACCTCTTTACACTCTTCTCTCCACTCACAACCAGCTGTAGAATTGAAAACAAGCTAGAGAAGCAAAATTTGTATAAGTTTCCTATTATCTTGCCCTGTCCCATAAGCATCTGCTGTTTCTCCATTTTCCCAAGGATCTCTGAAAGTGGTGACGTGTAGGGGGTGCATGGGAGTACACATGTACCCCCTGAAAGTGCTAGTGCATGCCCTGACAGGCAGTTTTCCCTGCTTAGGTGATGGGCCTGGGGGCAGGCAAGACCACTGGTGCTCCCCCTGAGAGTGCCAGCCTGGGAGTGGGGCAGGCAGGACCACTGGTGCCCCCCCTCCTGAGAGCACTGGCCTGGGAGTGGGAGCACCAGGAGAAGCAAGCCCTGCAGCCAATTGTGCCAACAGGGTGGGGTTCCCCAACAGCCAATCAAACCAACCTGGAAGTGTCAGCACCAATGGCACTTCTGGGTCAGCGCAATTGGCCACAGGGGAATCCACCCCTCCCCCCAGCCTCCCCCTAGTCAGCATGACTGGCCACAGGGGACACTCCTCCCAGTTGCTGACTGGCCACTAGTGGGGCAAGTGTCCCCCCCCAGACTCAGGACTCACCAGTTGCCCATGATCTCTGATAGGATTCCTTTTGGTGACAGCTACTGTTGTACTTAGTCCTGGGGGTGATGTGTAGGGGGTGCACGTGGGTGGCGGGATCTGCAGGCAGTCCACGATCGCCGCTGGCCACTGCCAACACTGCTGGTGGCACCTGAGGGTAGTCCCTGCCCCCTAGTCAGCACTCGCCACCCTCCTCTCTGCCGCCGACAGTGCTGGAGGCATCTGCAGGAGCTCCCAGCTTACCACCACTGGGCTCCCACCACGGTGCTCCTGCTGCCACCAGCGCAGCCATGCCCCCCTGAACCGCCAGGGGCACAGGCTGGTCAAGCTTAGTCCTTACAAAATGCTTCTCTTCTGTCAAATGGTTGCAGCAGCTCCAGAAATTCTGAAGGTAGTTTTGATAAACCTTGCCATGAGCAAGTGCTATAGGCATTTAAGACCAGAGCAGAATTAACAATGGATTCATTTTTAATTAAAATAAAATTACCTGTGTATTGGCTGCTTCCTTGTGAAAACAGGTTTGCCATGCTAGGTCTAGCTACTGCTCTGTCAATTCTGTTATCTTTCACTGTCACTTCTCAATACCTGAAGCTTCAGGAAAATCTCATAACCAGAGAAACACTGATATTCAGCAAGGGTGCAAGACTTTTAAAATTTCTTTCTTGTCTCCTGAGATGATAAACTTATGCTTTGAAGTCTGAAAACACATGATCTTAAGGTTCCATAACTATATATGCCATAACATTATTCAGTCCTTTTTAAAATCCAGATGTTGTCTTTGATTTTTGGTTCTTTTGGTTCTTATGGAAGCGAATTCTATATGTTTATCTCATATTTTGTTATAATCTCATACAGAAGGAGTCTAAACATGGGCAAACTGGTTTTGATCCTATAACATTTACTGGGTAGACTGGCTAGCTGGCCACTAATTGCATTTTAAGTTGTTCGTGTTGATGCTTGAAGGTTTTACTGATGCATGAGAGTAACAACAGTTACATGCATACATGCCACTAGAGGCTGCCATACACCTCACTAATGGTTAGGTATAGCAATTAAGAACGCAAATTTGTATTCAGAAAGTGCTGGTGTTTGGAGGCTGTCAGCATAGCCTACACATTGCCAGTGTTCTCCAGGCAAACTCTATGGAGGAGACGCTGTTTCCCCTGGCGCCCGCTGGCATAACAAGGAGTAATGGGCACAAGTTGATGGAGAGGTGGTATAGATTGGACATCCGCAAGAACTACTTCACAGTTAGGGCGGCTAGGAGCTGGAACCAACTTCCAAGGGAAGTGGTGCTGGCCCCTACCCTGGGGGTCTTTAAGAAGAAGCTGGATGCCTACCTGGCTGGACTCATTTGAGTCCCGTTTCTTGTTTTTGGGGTTTTTGTTGTTCTCCCGCCCTGGTGGGGGGTCGGGCTAGAAGATCTACTAGGTCCCTTCCGACCCTTAATCTATGAATCTATGAATCTATGGAGTATCTTGGCTGACTTCATCCATCATAGCCTCTTTGATATGGTCTTCATTTCTTGCAAAGGAGTGCTTTGAAAATGAACAAAGATATCATAGTTTAATAGTTCTTGCAACTATTCAGAGCAATAGTGTTCCATCAAAATTATTTGTGTATAAGCTGAAACAGCGCTTACCTGCTGTGGCATCTGGGCTCCTATGCAGACATAGGTTACCTTAGTTGCTATCAGAATGTAATACTGGACATACTGTGGAAGACAGGTTATGTTTCTTTCTAGTGGCTTTGCAGACCTTCAGAGTGAATCTAAATCTAAATTGCAGCTAGAAAAGAGAATCATTCTATACTGAAAACACCAACAAGCTCCAACATTACTCAAGTAAGAGTTAGGTAGGCTAAGGTCATAGCTGCAGTGAACAACCATTGCTAATGACACTCCAGTGCCAGTCTGCCTGCTTTGTGCACATCAGATTTCAGATGAAGAAACCCTGATGTCACAATGGTTTGGTGTCTGTGAGAAACTTCAGGAGCCACAGGCTCAGAAAAATGTTAACTTCAACCTTGATGCTATGCTAACCAGAAGCCAGGCAGCTGGAATTAATATTATTTAAAAACTGCAAATGATTTTGGGCAGACAGCATGGCCTGGAAGAAGTTTTCTGTTTATTTATTTATGTATTCCTAGATCAGGTCAAAGTGAATACCCTGCATCAGAGGCATTAAAGATATGACTCACAGGCCAGATCCACCCTCCGGAACCCTGTCATCCAGCCTACTATGCCACCCATGGGTCTTGAACTGGATCTGTATAACACAGGTAGAATGTGCCAAAGGGGCACTATCCACAGCTGGCCAGCCCTGAATGCTGGGGCTAGTCTGTGGGTCCAATACAGCCCATTGTGACTCATCCAGCCTGTATGTTGGCCCCACACCACTCATCTCACCCACTAGGCCTGACAAGTTGACACCCCTGCCCTACACTGAGATTTAAGTGCTTGTTCTATGTTTGTTTTATGTGGGTTGCAGACTGCTCTGGCCCTTGTGGAGTGATTGGCTGACTTGTTGCTCTCTATTCACTGTCCCAAGTGTACTACCCAAATGTTGACAACAGCACAAGGGAGCAAAATAAGCAGAGGACTGTAAATTGATATTTACATCATAAGACAAACACTTTGCATGTTACTATCTGTTCTGACAATGAGAGTTGATTTGTTCTTACAACATATGTATATAAGGTAAACAAAATCCTTGTGACCTGTTGTTTCCTGCCTTGTGAACTGCTCGTTTGAGGCAAGGGTTGTCTCTTACATGTGCACATATGCATTTTCATATGCATGTGTACACAAACACAATGCCTAGAACAATGGGGATCCTATCTCAGTCAGTGCTTAAACATGCGACAGAAATAACTGCTCGCAAGAAATGTGCTGGTTTGATCTTTAAGCCCTTTTGTAAATAAAATTCCTATAGGCACTTCATGATTCTCCAACACTTTGATGCATAGTGGGTGTTTCTACACGTGCAATGAATTCACCTGAATTTTCTGCGCAGAAAATTCAGGTGCATTAAACTGTGCCCCTGCCTGCATCTGAACATGTGTCCATCGTGAACAAATTTGCTCCCAGCAGGAGCAGTTCAGTTTAGGACTGCTCCTGCCCTGCTCTGCTCCCCTGCAGAAGCCTGGGGGAGCTCCAGGCCCCCCTGGGTGCTAGCCCCACCCAGGCTGGCAGGGGGCACATCCCCATCTCCATGTGGCTGGCAGGCAGCTGCCCAGTAGCCAAGACAGTTCTTCCCAACCTGTGGAGATCAGGACAGGTCCCAATTTCCATGTGGCCAGCAGGCAGCATCCTGCCCAGCTAGGACATCTCTCCATGCCCCCTGTGGCTCCCTGCTGCCTAGGTTGACCAGGAGCAATTTGCTCCCAGTCAGCATCTACACATGTGCTTCAGCGCATTAATATAATACGCAGATTTCTAGTACCTGTATCTACAGGTACTAGAAAACAGCACATTACACTAATTTATAGTACAATGTAGATGGTGATGCTTTACTGCAAATTAATGAATGACATATATTGTTTTTGCCTTGGCAAGATTAAAATATAAAACTTGTTGGGTGCGTCTAACATGAGATGCTTTACTGCACATTAATCTAATAAGCAGTAAAGCATCTCATGTTAGACGCATCCAATATGTTTTATATTTTACTCTTTCCAAGGCAAAAATAATACATTATAATAGGCAGGAAGGTGGGGCAGGGGAATCTTTTTGAAAAGCTCCTCTCTGATAAAGACACTGTCAAATGCTGAAAGATGGAGGAGTTGGTGTCCATTATGAAAGCTGGTAAGGGACTTAAGTAATAACAGATTTGGAGGCAACTTGGAAAAAACGGAAGTGATGTGAATTGTGATCAAAGATTCATGGGAGATGCTGCCAATGGCTTTTCCCAATTCCTTTTTGAGAACCATTTACAAGCAACCAGCTTCATTGTTAACCGTTCTGAGAAACACCTTTGGTGCATTGTTGATTTATTCAGGAGTAAAGTTTAAGCTACTTCAAAGCTGTAATCTGATATGGAAAGTCTTGTGAACACTTCCCTGTACTCTTTCATTTTTAATCTATCATAATGTTTTTAGTAATAATTGATGGTTGGGAAAAATATTTCATATGTTTTCATTAATATTTATGGAAAAATATTGGATATTTTATTACAGGTTTTTTCATAGCTCAAAAACTATTGTGTATATATGAAATGTTATCAAAGGACCAGTTTAATCTCAAGACATGTTGAATCTGATCACCATCAAATTACAATGTGAAGGCTTTCATGTGATAAAGGGCAGTTCTGTTTTCAAAATTAAAGAAAAATATCCCTGTAATGTTGTAGACTCTGACTTAGATTACTGGCAAAACTGTGACTTTCTATAAATTCAAAATGAAATAGGAGAACCTGAAATATAAATTTTTTTAATTCTATTTCAAATATTTTGTATGGCCCCAACTGTGATGAATCACATCTGCAGGAATGTGCTGTACAAAATATTTTGGCCCAAATGTTCAAAAGTAGCTACTAATTATATCTGCCTAAGGTCTGATGTCCAGAATTGCAGAACACCTGTCCTTTTATATCTACAGTCAATGCACTGAACTAGTGCTCATAGCCTCTGAAAATATTATTTAAAATAAAAAATGATGTGTATTATCCTTATTTGTGTAACATTTTTATAATATTTGTAACTGGAACATGACCACCAGGATCTGGGGGAACGTTTGTTCACCAGAGCGCCCCAAGGGATGACGAAGTCGAACGGTCATAAACTACTACAAAACCGTTTCAGGCTGGACATAAGGAAGAATTTCTTTACTGTCTGAGCCCCCAAAGTCTGGAACAGCCTGCCATCGGAGATGGTTCAAGCACCTACACTGAACACCTTCAAGAGCAAATTGAATGTTTATCTTGCTGGGATCCTATGACCCCAACTGACTTCCTGCCCTTTGGGTGGGGGGCTGGACTTGATGATCTTCCGAGGTCCCTTCCAGCCCTAATGTCTATGAAATCTATGAAATCTATGAGCTTTGTAGCTGGGGTCAAAGCCCCACTGGGTTTAAGACTTTGTACAAACATGTCAAGAAATATTCCTTGTCCCAGCACATTTACAAACCAAATAAACAAAACAAAGGAAAGGGAAACTAAAAAGATTAAGTGATTTGTCCATGGTTGTAAAGCATGTCACTTGGTGACCTGGGACTAGAACTCATGTCTCCTGACCTCTGCCATCTTCCTTGTGCTCTCCCTTACTAATAGCTCTTAAAATGTATGTAGTATATACATATTGTGCATACATACATACATAGTACATATATGTTCAATGATTTCTTCAGCCATTTACTAAGTAATCCTCACAAGAATCAGGGCAAGGAGGTGGGTGAGTAAAATTGAGATAGAAAGGAAACAGAATCAAATTATAATTGTCACCTGCATGCTATGCAAGTGGCGAAAGGGTTTTGTATTGTTCTTTTCCTTTGTTCGTAGAACATTCAGCCTAGAACAACCCTGATTTGGTTTATATACATCTCATAACCCAGTAAAATCCCACCTTATTACTGCACTGAGGAGGAAGGAGGAGATATTTATTGGGTGTGCTCTGAATAGGGTTGTTGCATCATGCTTTGAATATGAAGCAGGATTTGGCAGTCCAATCTGCATGTGAACTGTGCAAAGTATCTTTGACTTTGGAGATTAACAGAGTAAGTAGCATAGTTTCTTTAGTCACTTGGTGCTGGTGCCAGTTGTGGTGGCTCTCCATGTGACCTTGAAAGAACTGTTACAGTTCAGCCACTTTCACGTGGGACACTTTAATCCCTTTTAAAATTCTGTTTTCCTTCCATCTAATCAAGATCTTTTGAGTCATATAGACATGAAATGGAAAAGATTAAGTTTAGCCTTTGGGTGATTGTTAGATAAGGACAAAGTCTGCTGTCTTTTCTGGCATCTTTCTTACAGTAGGTAGAAAAGCTGTGATTTATCTACAAATCAAATATCTGGTTTCACTGAATAGTTATTTTTCTCTTGCACCAATGGTGAGGAAATGCTTCACTGCTTCTCAGTTTCTGTGTACTCTGCTCTCCCTTGGCATCTCCCACTCACTGTTTGCCCTGGGTGTCTTCCTGCTGCTCAGAATGATATAGATGCAGTGGGTTGAAAAATGCTGCTAGCAAGAATATGCCTGTTTTATCTCAGAGTATTTAGGCAAATCTAAATTTAGAGTAGAATTTTTAAAAAGCAACGGCCAAAGGCATTAATTAATACAGCTTCTATATGGCTGTTTATATAAACAGCAGGGAAAATCATGCAGTTTGCAGATGAAGAGATATGGAACCAGATATTTACTGAGCAATGGGACAGAAACTAGAGATCAAAATGGACATGTTGGCCCTCATTTCTCTCTGGACCTGGTTAACCCCAGGTGATGTTCTGTGGACCAGTCAGTCACATAATTATCCATTAAGAATATTTGTTGTATTTTTTTCTTAAGCATCCCAGATCACTTTAAATTGGTAACAAGATAGTGGATTCAGTATGGAAATTCCTCTGTGCCAGTAAAGTTACACTGGGATAAAGTTGTTCTGTTCTTCATAAGTGTAAGCAGAAGCACAGCTGTTTGCTATTTTTTTGTGTTAAAAGAACTTTTGTGATGATGGCAACTTGTGTGTGTCTGCTAAACAGTTATATCAAGGTTGTTCTTTGAACACTGTAGCTCATAGGCCCCATCTCAGTTGGCTAAAGAAATTTTGCTTTAAGACAACATAGCTTCTACAGCATCTTCCATCCAGGTCTTTCAAAATGCCTTGCAGTCATTAGGCAATTTAACCCCACAACTTACCTGCCAAGCTGGAAAGTATCTTGCTTCCTGCTCCACAGGCCGAACTGAGGCATGAAGTGCTTGGAGTCACATGGACAGTCAATGGAAGAGCCAAAAGCTGACCAAGATTTCCTACATCTTCCTGGGGTTCAACCATCAAGCTGTGCTCCCATTCCTGGAACAATTAGCATCATATTGCACCCAGATGCACTAGGGTTATGCTGCTATTTTAGACAGGGCTCAGGACCACTTAACCACAGTGTCATAAAAAACCTGCTCAGGAAAGACTGATGGTTTAATACAGCTTGCTGGCATGTTTCTAAAGCAGAATCCTTGGACAGAGCTTAAAGGGACATTGTCAAGTAGCTTTCACACCTTGATATTCATCTGATTAGACCTACTGGGAGATAGGTTGAATGACAGAGAGTTGATTATGATCTTAACAGCATTGTAATGTCTCTCCTGTTACCTATTCAAACACTGGCTCTCATGCTGGTAGTTTTCATCATTCTTTAAGGAGAAAAATAGTCACTCAAAGACAGAATAAACTAAAATGGAAATATTTTCAATTGCTGGTCAGAGCCTGAACATTTGAAGCAAAAATAGAATTAAAAGTTTCTTAGGGTCCCATTACATGGTAATTTGGGGTGGCTCCTGGAGCTCTTAACACCTGTACTATCTGCACATTAATACCTGAAACTACTTTTACGCATTCATTAGGCAGATCAAAGTTACACCAGTCCAGGGCAGGATTATCTCTGATCTGCACTACCCAGCTCATGTTGCACTAAGATGGGGCAGGCAATTATTTGGGCTGGAGGGCCACTTAGAGAGTTTTGGTGAGCTGTCACAGGTCAGCTCAGCATCCCGCCCTGCCATCTGCTCACCAAAGCTCACCAAAATTCCCTAAGTGGTTCTTCCCCAGGGCCTGAAGCTACATTGTGTGGGGACATGCTCTGCCAAGAGGATGGAATGAGGCTGCAGGCTGGTGGGGAGCAGCTTCCCCGGGCAGGATGAGCAGGTGGTGCCAGGGTCTGGGGCATGACCATGATCCACTCCCAGCACCCCTCCGGCCTGTAGAACCAGCGCCCATTGCAGGGACATGCAGGCAGCTGATCATGGCTTGGCCCCAGGCTCCAGCCCTGCACTGTCACCATCCCAAGATCCTGGCCCCAGCCCTACCCACCCATCCCACTTCTAGATGCTGCTTCCCTCCTGTCCACAGCC